AATACAAAAATATTAGAACAAGTTTTCATTCTACTTGACATAATTTTAAAGTCATAATTTCATATTAATAATAGGCTAGTATTAAACTAAAACATAACTTTTAAATTGAACACACTACCATCCAAATACATAAAAAAGGATATTAGACAATCCAGTTGCCTTAATTCTATTGTCACTAAAAGAGTTACCATGGTCAACCAACAGCTCCACACATGTCCACTGGCACCACAATGCCCAATCAAGGTTAATCTATGTAACTAAACTCTTAATTGTCAAATTCTCTCACTAATTACCCCAATTTCCAAAACACTATATTAACTCTATTTAATGTCTCAACAGATAAACAACACCAGTACATTACCCACATTACTCTTAATCATTAAATTTCTACATAAGGTTCGTCCAAACCTTAATCAACACCTCTAAATCTTTATGAAATCCATAAATATAGGTTTAGAGACTTAATTTAACTTTCTAAGACCTTAACTAAGGTAATGAGTTTGTCCATTACTCAACCACAACTAAAAACAAGCCCCTAAATGCCCTAAAGTTAGAATTTTAGCATAAAATAGAGAGGGGGAGGAAAGGAAAGCTTACCCAAAGATGATTCAAGCTCCAAATGCTTCCAATGTGGTCTGAAGGTCGTACCCTAACAGACCATAAGCTCCCTTCCTCACTTCCTTTGATTTGTCTCCTCCTCTTTTCTAATTTTAGGTTTGTTTTTGTGACTGATAAAATATAGATTTTGTATGTGCGCTACAGCATATTGGCTCATCCACACAACGCATGGCACAAAGATCCCAGGCTTGATTTGAATCTCTTTCTGTGCCATGACTTTCTCGTACTTTGATCTATCTCTCTTTTAAGGTTGTCCAATGATCCATTGGCTACATTAGTCTCCTTAAAACATTACTAATTAAAAAAATCACTTAATTTGACTATAATACCCTTATAAATAGTGGAAATTTCCAAAGTTAAAATTCAAGATGTTACATGTAGCATGCTCTACCACGATACAAGGAGTTCTATGGCCCAAGAGGTTCCTAAAATGATTGGGAATGAACCATAGAGAAAAAGGGTCCAATCTTGATACATTATGATAGTCAAGTAGTCATAGCTTATACTAAGGATCCCAAGTATCACAATAGGACTAAGCACATAAATATTAAGTATCATTTTATTAGAGAAACGATTGTTAAGAAGCAAGTCAATGTTCAGTACTTGTCTACTCATAAAATGTTAGCTAATCCCCTTACTAAACCTAAGCCAAAGATCCATTTATGAAACATGTAATAGCTTTGGGATTGCATAGGTTGTAATTATTGAACTTACCTCATGAATAAAATTATGCATTTCTTAATAAACATAAGTACAATGGTATGCAATATTCAAGTGTGTTATACATGTTTGAAAGGTTAGTTCTCTCATAAACAGTAGCCTTTAATGCTTATAAGGAGCAAAGGAAATGATATATAATGTGATCACTACCCGCTTAGAGAGAATAATGGAATGGTTGAGAAGAATCACATAATAAATGTTGCCTTGAATAGTGATATCAAGATGAGATATGGAACTTAAAATTTGAATTGAGTCATGGATACCCACGATCGATGATACCTGTAGACAAACAAAGAATTCCTAAATAAGGACATCATGAGTGATTTATGGAATTCTAGTTTAGGTGCTGTGAGTACCTAAGAGTCAAGCTTGAATGTTGTTGATGAATAAAAAATCAACATACAATCTTAAGAAAGAAACACCACAACATGCAACTCATACTACATGTGCTTATATGATCGCACTAGTGGAAATAGATGGATAGATCCCTATTCCATAACTGTGTGAGTCCTAGAAAAGAGAAAAATACTTTCATAGTACCCTTAGGACTTGGAAAATGTCATAAGAGGCTGATTTAGTGATAGCTACTTTAGCTCATATCCTATGATCATGAGTGATTCAATCTAATAGGTACTAGAAAAGTGACTACGTCAGACTTGATTGACATATAGTTTGAAGGAAGATTATCCTTAAAATACACAATGGTGCTAGTGCGTAAGACATATCCCTTATAAGTTAAGAACTTGCAAGTATTGGTACTAAGCATATGAGAAGGAAATATGATTTAAATAATTAACTTGAGAGAGATTAGATATGACATGAGTAATGTGTATGGGTAAATTTGGGGTGCTCGAGGCAACTTATAACTGCAATGTAGGTATATAACAAGATGCCTTTATATGTTGATCTTGTCATAGGATTTCTAGTACACAAACATCATAATCGAGGATGTTGTGCCCATACAATCATAGCAGAGCACCAAGTATAAAGTAAGAGAGATAAGGTTCACACAATAGGAGTCCCATCAAGTGCAAGTGGATGTTAGAATTATGGATTCACCCTTCATGGAAATCGGATCATTATATTAGAGTAGTCAGTGGATCTGATATTATTATGGTAATAATGAGTTGACAAAAATCAAGAATTAATGTGAGATTAATTTCTAATTGAATTCCATAATGAGAAATATTTCTCTACAATAATGATGATTATTTTAATTAATTTATTTTCTCCACAATGAGGTGAATTAATATTAATTGGATTTTTCTTTTCTATGGTAGTCTTCCCTCCCTATAAATAAAGACGGGTGGTTGAAGTAATAACTCACCCCCAAAACAAACAAATCTCTCTTATTGTTCATTCTTCCTCTCTCTCTCTCCCCCCTCCCTCTCCAGTGCATCTGTTATGCAATTTAGTTTAGACTCTAGTAGTCTAAACTCATATCAGTAGTCGAGTAGATTCTGCTGTGTGCAAGTCTAGTAAGACTTTAACTTGACTCCCTTATTAGGTTTATTATTTATTTAGTATTCCTTCAATTAGTGTGCAAAAGACCACTTAAAAATAATGATATCATATAAAATGAATAAATAACTTCAATGTCCTATACCACAAATGAAATGCAGATCCTTATGTATATCCTTTCTCATAAAATATCATATAATGCCTTTCATTTAGGCATCTTATCTAATAATGCTCAAGCAAAATGTTCATACATCATGCTCTGTGTGTGTGTGTGTGTGTGTGAAGATTAAAAGCTAATTTTTAGAATTGACAAATACAAAATCGCAGATTCAAAAACACACACGAATCCTCAGCTTGTAAGCAGTTCAACCACTTAGTTGAATCTATACGGAATTTCTACTTTTAATTTGGTTACTGTGTGGTAGTGTTAGTGTGATATAGTGTTAGTGCATGCCCTACATGATAATCATGATATGATTAATAATTAAGAATTCATGTAAAAAAAATATTGCATTTCAATTATTATATTTTACATAATTTCTAGAGAGTTTGATTGAATGTAGTAATTATCATAAAGATACTAATTATTTTTAAAACATCCCTACGTATTATTGTCAATTGGCATAGAAATAAAACAATGAGACTAACACGTGTACAAGAGTATGGACATGAGATAATTCCTTCATTTCAGAACAAAGATTTTTTAAATGTATATATAAACACAGATTAAGAAATCTAGTTAATACGACAAAATTCTTCTTATATTATGGAATTTCCCCTACAGTCATTTCATAAAGGGATAATGAAACTTTTAGTCCCTTCAATTTGTCTTAGTTATCCATTTGACCCTTCAAGTGTAATTTTTATTGGTTTAGTTCCTTACACTTTCTAAAATTATTATATTGGACCTTTAAATTTTAAAATACAAATTAACTCTCAAATTAATCTAATGTATAAAAGTATAATGATGATCTGTCATGTTCATGTACCTAATGAAAAAAAAAAAAAACTAGCTTTCAAATCAATTTAATTTCATCAATCCAATTTACATTATTAGTTTTTTTAATCTATTTTTTCCTACCAAAATAATTACACTTATTTGCATTAATCTACATGAATACCGTCTATTACCTTATTCATGTCAGTAGATTTCAACAGTATTACCTCATGTTTAAACAAGAAGAACAAAAAAAAAAACACTAAAGCAAACTTAATATCTCAAATTGAAAAAAAATAAACTTTAAATTTAAAAGACAAAACTAATAACTAAGACTAACTTGAAAAACTAAAAGTTTCATTATTCTATTTTTATAATTAATAAAATGAAAATAAAAAATAAGTTTTCCCATAAGTGTTACATTGTGATTAAAAATAAGTACATAATAAAAAATATCAATAAATGTTGCATTAAACTAATGAAAGGACATATAAAAATGAAACATTAATTGTTTAAAAAAAAAACTTATATTGCGATTGAAAAGGAATACAATATATGAGTGCTTGTTAAAGAATGAGGCACCAAAATGTGCTCGATCATGTAAAGGCGTTCAAGGATATCGCTTGCTTACCAAAACCAAACCATTCTATTTGTACACAATGACATTTGATCTTTTTTATTAAAATCAATTGCGTTCAAGCTTTAGGCGGTTTGGTTAAATCTAATTCATTTATGGTTTAAGTTTTAATAAATTTATAAATATCCAAAGTTATATATTATGATTAAGCTTTTTTTTTTTTTTTCTCTTGCTTTCCTTCCTATTCCAACTTCAATCACATCATCATCATTCATGAATGGTAGTAAGCATTCTTATAACCGAAATAAAAAACGTTCACATTTTTCTCACTATCCTTTTACTAATGAAATTTACTTGGTCCATATTTATTGGCTTGTATTAGAATTAAAAATATGAAGACCTAAAAACTTCACAAACTACTTATACAATACACTCAAATTTTACGAAATTTCATTGATACAAAGAGTTCTAAGATTCGGTGTGGAAGTGCCAGACTTGCTAGCATTGTATTTCGCAACATGAGAAAATAAAGAATGATCCAACAACTAACCGTCCAAATCAAGCCTGAAGGATACCAATCTTCCCCCGTCAAAGGTAATCCTTGTGGGTAAAAATGAGCACTGCTATTTAAGCGTTTTAGTACATTGAAAGAATTTTAGAGAAAAAATAGGAAGGGAAAAAGAAAAATGGGAATCAAGTGGCAAATAATTAGATCCACCTTTTAAGTGTTGCAATCCAAAAACCCACATTACATAACAATCAATGTCCAAATACAATAATAAAGCCATTTTACTATTACAAATTTTACGATAAACCAAAATTCAGTTACAAGAAATATGGAACGCCTGTCCTGGGCCCCCTCATCTGGTTGTTCTCCTCCGTTTCAGTGAAAAATTTAACCTCTCTCTCCTGTTGCAAGTAAAAATGTAAGCATGTACAACAAAGTGCTCCAACAGGCACAGAATAAAGGGGAAGATGATCACATAACAACTTCACCCACATTTACTGGTTTCATAACATGCTAAGACATAACTAAGTACAGCATGTACGATGCACATAATTTTACACTAAGCACTCTCATAACATATCATACTTGGATGAACATTTCATCTTAATAACTAACTGTGATAGGTATCTAAGTAGGATGGAAAACCATATCCCAAAACTATTTGGGTACCCATCATATTGGTACTAGAGTGTAGTTATCAGCAATTCTGAAAAGAACTACCCACGGAGGATTCCAACTAGCATTAAGTTGAAATAAGTGCCATGGCGTTAACTTCTCATGAAAGGCCAACTAATAGAGACTTAGTAGTATGAGATATCAAGTCCCATATTGAATAGTATGGGATGCTCAATGAGACATTTATGTTGGTTGGTTCTCTCACCTCAATAACTAGCTTTTAGGGCAAGATTCCCCATCCTACTTAAGTACCCATCAAGCTAGCTATTATTTTCAGGGGGCAGAAATGATATCTGTAATTTATAAAGTCACCCTTTTCATTCTATTCCATCGTACATACCAAATGATAAACTAGTTGAGGAGATTGAAGGGCAGTTAGATTGAAGATCGAGAAGTCTACATAAAGTAGCGAATTTGGTGGGGCGTTGTTTGCAAGGAGGGTGGAGAGAGCCCAGTAAAGGATTCTGAGAGAATTCTGGCTTCCCCAGTGCCAGAGCAGGTTTATTTTCTGATTCCTTTGTTTCAATATAATTTTCTCTATGTTATGAATGGTGATTGTTGAATGTATTTCAGGGGATATTTCTTGTCGAGTGAAAGGACAAAATTGAGTATTGATTTCCATCGTATTCCTCCTATTGTGTCTGTTTTTTAATTCGTTCGAATAGCATAAAGTTCCATCAGATTCTATAAATCTATTTCAGCATGAGAACTAACGTCTTTCACCCAAAATAATCAACTGGAAAAGGCAGCCAAAAGCAACAAGATCCAAAATGCAGTAGTAGGCATGGTGTGAGTGGGGACAGCTGCCTTAGTAACATTACAATCTAAGCAAAAAGGGGAATGGAAATTTACCTTAACCAGCATGAAAATAAAACAAATGAAAGGAAATGGTGGAATTCTCTAAATTGATTTGCATTATTTAGAGAGAAAAGGAACTGCAACTCTGATTCCAAGAAATGGGAAAAATGAATGCATACCCGAGCATAAGAGAAATCCCAAACAGGAAACACAACCTCTAGTATGCAAAAGATTAGAGACTGTCCCAGTACATTACTAGATAGCCTTAAAACCTCTTCTCCAAACTGAATATCCGTCATATACTACCAGACAACAATTAGGTATGTGGTTCTTCCCTGGTTCCCTCTCACCGTTCTCCTAATCATCTTACTTTTGTTACTAGGTATTACGTGGGAATTAGCAGTCAGTTGGGAAATGGTTAAGAAAGTCCGGTAGTTAATGACTCATTAGTATGAAGCGTGGGGATATGTAAATTTAATATGACTCGTTAGTACGAAGAGGGGGGATATGTTCTAAAAATTCAATAATACTCTTCTATAAGCTCACCACATAACAATGGCATTCAAAATGGCTTTCCAAATACCTGGAACCATCACCAGAAGTACAATCCAAGCAGTGACGGGGATAGCATTGAAGTAGGAAACAAGGAAAGTATATCAGAAGAAGTATGAAGAACTTTCGGTGAAGAAAGCTAGCCTATCAAGCCAGTAGTTTGTTATGTGCCAATGTAGTTTTGAGAAGCCTTTGCCTTTCTGGTGAGTGCTTGTGTCGGGAGATACTTGAATAAATCTTTTAGCTGAGGAGAAATTCACTTAGGACATACTAGTACGATGGAGCCATCTTTTTGGGAAATGGAGGAGGATAGAAGCTTCCATGAAAAGTGATTTTTATACTACAATGGTGCAGAGTAGGGAGGAAAAAAATCATGTTTTTTCTCTTTTGCAAGGGAAGTTTGGCATAAAACAATCAAAAAAGAAATAGAGTAATCAAAGTGACCAGATTAAACTATAGGAGATGTACATAAATGCCCCAGAATTTCAAGTTGACAATTCACGAAAAATAAATGAAAACAATTTGAAACTCACTAAAGGGAAAATCACGGATTCCTCAGTAATAAATGCATAAATATATTTTTCTAAAATTTCAAAAGCCATGTCATTTTTTGGTATGATGGCGAACCAAATCTTGTTTTCCGTATTATCATACTTATCTTCAACATATTATTTCATATATGAATGTATGCTTGAAAAGTTAATTTTTATGATATTGATGGAGCCCAAGGTCATAATGGCAGCTTAGTCCCAAATTGTGTAGTACAAATGCTGTATGGGGTACTTAAGCGGGTTGATTTGCCCAACTCAGAAAGCTGAAAAATAATCAATATGTCACCTTAAAGTCTAAAAATGGTGCAGCGAAACAAGTCCAATTCCACTAACACTTGTTAAGATTCAAAAGCAAACGAGAAACATGGGGTGTCATGTACAAATGAACTCAATTCAATTCACGTAGAAAAGTGCAGCTCTTGTTTTGTTAAAAAATTATATTTACAGAAAATGAGAAACATACATAAAGAATGGCTTAATACATATCACAACACCAATTTAACTGTTACAAAGATCATCATAAGTGTATATTTAAACACAACGCAAGCGATAGATGACTGACCATATTTTCATTGAAGCTCAAAATAGAAGCAACGTTTCCACATCGGTAACAATAATTAGGTGCAGACCATACCTGTAAAAATTCAAAAGCAATGACTTGTTGGTTTATTCATTTTCATAGAAGACTGAAATATATTTAATAAAATAAGTAAACAAATAAAATTAATTGAATATAGTTTAATTCAATTTTGAAAATGTGATACTTACAGTTACAAGGCCTTTATCTTGGAACATATACTTGAGGCCTTCTTGCACAAGTTGATGGGCACGACAAACAAGATCAAGATTATTTATGTGATTGAACTGCATCAGAAATGAAGCATTCATAAGACAACAATAAATTTCAATTCTATAACTAAAGTCTCTTCCACAATATCTAAATTGGGAGAGAATAATTTCCATGTTTTCCTAATGAGTTTCAGCAAATGGTTTTTTAAGGGGTGGTGTTCCTTGGGGATTCACATAGATTGAAAATCTCGAGACCTTGTGAGTTTGCAATTTCTTATATTCACGTTCTGGGAAGCTTTCTTGTCGTTTGTTTTCTTATTGTTTTTCTCATCAATAAAATCTTGTCTTTATTAAAAAAAAATCAATTCTTTGAATAATTCAAAACTAAAATTACAGTACCTCAGAAGTGACCCTGGATCCAAAAAGCCAGCCTGCCCCACGGGGACTCACAGCCCATGTCTCAATATCTTCAGGATCACTCCACATCAGATCACAAAAGGGTCCCTCATGTGGAATTTCACAATTTCGATCAATAACCCTTATCTGCCATGGAAAAAAGATTTATTATTAAATGATGGAAAAAAAAGGGTCACCATTTTATATTGCTTGTAATAATGTGAAAAAAAGGGGATAAAAAAAGCAACCAATTGCGTGCAAAATATTAATTTTGTAGACTAACAAACAAAATCAAATCCACCACACAAATTAGCTCTAACATGGGGAGAGCACAAAGATGATTGGTGTAATAGGTAAAACACAAAACACAGACCTGAAGACAATCATAAGTTTGCCTAGTCTAAATATATATAGAGTGTAACCAACAAATCAGAACGGCACTGAAAAATGACAACCTGATCAATTGTTCGAATGTCAGGAGAAAGACCGCCATGAACACAGAGCACCTGGATAACACAGAACATGTAAATAAAATTTCTTTTTAAGACAGAAGATAAAGTCCAAATTCCAACACACCAACATGCACACATGGTGGGACAGAGGGAGGGAGGAGAAAAGTAGAAGATATTTACAGTTCCATCTATTATTGCTGAAAGTGTTAGGTAGTCAAAAACATCTGTACAATACCGCCATGCATTAGCATTTCCATACTTCCTCTGGCATTCATCATAAAATCCATAGACCTGAAAAAGGTAAATTGCAAAATAAGAATAAATCAGCAAGTTAAATGTTGATATTTAAAATTCATAATTTTAAATATATATCACTTTATTGCTCAGTAGGTAGACAAGCAAGACTGTAGTCACAACTCATAAATCTCTTCACATCAAAAACAATTAAATAATTGATGCTATCAATTTTATCACAACCTATGTGCAACTTAATCAGTAAAAAAATATAGATGTAGGTCAAGCAGAAACTACAGCAGAGTTTCTAAATTGGGAGCAGCAAGACTACGTCACCATGTTGTGGCCCTTATCATCAATGACCGGGGGATTAGCATGCCCAAAAGGCGGGAGTATCATCATTCATACCAAGTGCATCAAAATTTTTAAGTTTTCTTCACGTCATAGACAAGAGAAAGGGAAGCAATTCCAGAATCAATTGAAGGACCTCATGAAAGATGATTTGAGAATCTACAACTTTCTTTTGAAGGTAAAACAGTTTGTGGATGCATGGGGTGCTATCAGAGAACATGTGTCAATTGAGGCATACATTGGAGCAATCTTTGAAGGTTCGCCTCAAGATTATGACCCACTCAAAATAACCACAACATCAAGAAATGACTTGCATGCTGTAGCAGAAATGAAAGTTGTATTGATGGCACAAGAACAACAAATTGAAAAGAACAAGTGGCTGTACCACTTGCAACCATCAATCACCAACCATATCTTACTCAAAGCAATGGCAAAGCGAGCAAATAGAATCGAAAACCACCATACAAAGATCAACTGAACCAAAGAGGGGTCATGGTGGAACTATTACTCGAGGGCAAGCTAGGTCATGGACTTGTAATCAGTTACCAAGGCTATAGCACACGCTCATAGAGTCAAGTAAGCGGGAAATATGGACACACCGCATGGGAATGTCAACACAAGTTTGCTCAATTGTTCATCAATCTAGAAAGCACTCAACAACACTAAATTGAATCAACTAGAGCGTTGGCAATCAGGCACACAGTACCCAAATTCAAGGACCACAAATCATATCACAACAAAGGGAGACATCTATCAATGAAAGATGACTATAATGGGACATGATAGCTTCATATAGCAGACAGCAGAAGTTAAAATATCAATAATGAGGTATAATAACACTCATTTTCCCTGTACCTTACAACCACTCTTAACCATGTCCTTCATGTTCCACATGCTAATAAAGTGTACCTTCAATTACATTCTCTTCTCTTCAAAGTCTTTGAACGCGCTCACAATGAGGAGGGGAATAAACTAAATCCACAATCCGTCAAATGCATTTTTGGGGAACTCTACTGTCAAAAAGAGTTCCAAGTGCCACTGTCAAACGACAAAAAAGATTGTACATTCCCTCAAATATCACTTTCTTTAAGAATTAAGAACAAACCTTTTCATTCCAAATCACCCATTTAAGGGGAGAACGTGGATGTTCAAAAGGAGGTGTCTAAAGAAACGTTGCTGCCAGAACTAGAACTCAAAACAAATCCAGAAACAATGTACACCTTGAACCTATCTCAACCAAATCCTGAACAACCCCAAGAACACAGACAACAAAAACCTAAGCCAAAGAGTCCCAAAATGAGACCTCTAGTCCAAGTGCCAAGCAACAGCAAAAAGAATAGGCAAAAAGGCAAGGATCGAGGTGAAGAAGATGTGACCCAAGACACATTCTCTAAGCAAGGTCAGTCTCATCATCCTCTTTATCTAAATTCTAATGAGAAGATTGGTTAAAAGGTGGAATGTGAAGAATTATATCTCCATATTGCTGAGGAGAGGGGTGAAAAGTGGCACTAAACATTCTATCATTAATTTTGTTACATATGATAAGTTGGAACCTACAATACAGGCATTTATGCAAGTGTCCCTATAAAAAATCCCAAGCTCAGTTCATGAAGCATAAGGCCCAATGGAGAGAAAAATTGCAAGAAGAGTTGGATGCACTCCAAAAGAACAGGACATGGTCTCTTGATTATCAAGAAGCATTTTCTCCAGTTTCCAAACTCAACACAATCAAATTCCACATCTCAATAGTAGCATACTTAAACAGGCCACTTCATCAATTAGATGTCAAAAATGCCCCCTTGAATGGAGATCTTAAGGAGGAAGTGCAAATGAAATTTTCCCAAAGTTTGGAAAATGAAGTAAAGGGAAACAAAATGTGCAAACTAAACAAATCACTCTATTGCCTCAAACAATCATCTAGGACATGGTTTGATTAGCTCACCAAACTCCAAAGTAATCAAGAGCCTTGGATTTCTCTAGCATGAAACTAACCACAGTACCACATGTTGCTTATCCAAGCATGGATCAAATGATAGGATGGCTATCTTGATAGTCTATGTTAACGACATAGTCATTACAACAGAGTTTAGTGAAGAGATAAACAACTTAATGAAAAAACTTGTAATAGAGTTTTAAGTTAAGAGTTGGTCAGATGAGATAGTCCCTAGGTATGGAAGTAAACCGGAAGAGAGAAGGAATTTCAATGTCACAAAGAAAGTATAATTTGGCCTTGAAGAAACTAGAATGCCAGGGTGCAAGCCAGTCACAAGCTAAGGCTTCAAAATTAGAGCCCACATGAACAAGGACTATTGTTTAGAAGAGGAGCACGTAAGGATTTAAGTGTCTGGACACTGCAGCCCCTGAGGTCCTAACTTTTTCATTAATTGTGATTGTGAAAATACATAAATATTCTGATTTTCAGAGTTAGGACTCCAGGGATTGCAGTATTAAATCAGAATTCATTGGTCCTCAACAGTGAATATGTTTCTCTAGGAATCCTTGGTTGTGATTTTCCCTATAATGAAAAAGGCACTCACACACAAGAAAAGTTTGATGAAGTCAACTCCAAGTTGGGGATGATTTACATCTACTCCCCAACTTGAGGGGAAGTGTTGAAGATTGCTGATTATTTTATTTACTTATTTTACTATCAATTTCTTTTTTGTTTCTTTTTATTATGAGGTTAAATACTTAACATTTATATATGGTTTGCTGGAATTTATTCCCTTAGATATCATTACTAGTGAGATTACTAGAAAACCCAAGGATCTGTACATAACTTATTATTAATAAAAAGGGAGGCACAGAGGCCATCATCAGTTTTTGAGACCTTTGCTTGAAAACTCTCCCTTGTTCCGCAATTTTCATACTAATGTTGGTACAGCTAATGCTATAGATTAGGCAACTCTTCTACCAATGAAGCTGGTTCTACTTCAGCCAGTATTAGTGAGGCATCTCATACATGTGGTTCCCACTGCTCAAGTCTGAAAATTAGGTACAAAAATCCTAACGGCACTATAAACAAGTTTATGGCAAAATTAATTGCTAAGGCTTTTATCGAAAGCCTACTTATGATTATGCTGAGACATTCAACCTTTTACAATTTAAGTGGTGCTTACCTATGCTATACCATATGGCTGGCATATACATCAACTAAATGTCAGCAATTCCTTCTTGAATGATGATCTTCAAGAAGAGGTATGCATGAGCCGACCTCAAGGATTTGAATCTAGTGACAAAACACTTGTATGCAAACTTCACAAAGCCCTCTATGGACTTAAAACAAGCTCCTAGACATTGTTTTATGAAGCTAACCACTACACTCCATCCTCTCCGAGTTCAATCAACTAGATGTGATTCCTCTTTGTTCATTTAACCTAAATAAGGATTTTGCATTAAAGGATTTGGGTCAATTGAATTATTTTCTCAAAAGTTGGATCAAGAAAACTGATGATGACAACTTGCCTATCTCAATCCAGAAACGCTTAGGACTTGCCCAAAAGGCAAAGATGGAAGAGGCAAAGTATACAAAGACTCAAATGCCTCCTGATACAAAATTATCAACTCATGCGATAAGTGTAATAATGGATGATCCTCAATTGTATTATTCCACTCTTGTATTACAATACATCACCATAAACTGCCCATGGCTTTTTTCAATAAATAAAGCCTAACAATTTATTCATAGATCGTTAAATAGCCACTAGGCAACAGTCAAAAGGTCTGCTGACATATTTTACAGGGAATATTAACTATGGAATCTGTCAGAAGAAATCATCCACATTGAGTTTAGTCCTAAGTGATGCTGATAGCGTTGTGATGTTGATGATAGGCAGTCCACATTAGGGGGCTATATTTGTCCAGGTGCAAATCTAGTGGCACGGTAATCTAGAAGCAATCCTCGAATCCTCTCATAAGATCATGCATAGAAGTTGAACATAAGAGTCTAGCTAATGATGTGGATTCAACTCATGTCAGAACTTCCAGTCCTACTAAGTATTGCTTGTGGTTCATCGTGACAACCCAAGTTTAGTGGCTTTGACTACCAATCTGATTCTTCATGCACGTATAAAGCACGTCAAATTAGATAACCACTTTGTACATTTGAAGATTCTACAAAAGCAACTTGTGGTGGCTCAAGACTCATCCAAGGATCAGTTCGCAGTTGTATCAACAAAACCTATTGCTTCTGATCAGTTTGTTTATCTTCGATCCAAACTTAATGCTGTCTCTAACCCACACTAAGTTTGAGGGGGCATGAGAGGTTCAATAACTCAGTAAGATACTGTCATAGTTAGTTATTGTTGTAACAAAATACTATACAAAAGCACTCTTCTATAAATACATCTAGCCTAACACGAGCGATTCAATATAAGATTATGGGTCGTAAACTACAGCCTAAAGAACCAATTCACTTCCTCATATCTTGAACAAAAACAAAAAGGTCCTAGAAAGTAGATTCTAACATATTACGTATTTTGTGCAAATAAATTTCAAATTGAAAATTCCCAAAGCTCTTTCTTAACCCTTGCCACCAATTGGCCTTCAAACATATTTGAACTCAAAAGCAAGAACTAGAGAAATGTAGAAAATCACCATCTAGTAAGTAAGTAGTGGACCAAATGAAGAGGTCTTTAGGGGCCAAAGTCACAGCCCAGTGGCTTAGGGTTTAAAGCTATTGCTGGTTTTTTATTATTTAATTATTCACTGCTTGATTATCTTCAGTTTTTATCTCATTAGAATTCAGCAAGTTAGGATATTTTTTTAGAAAAAGATTATGTAGATAATACCTAGATTTAACCATGGTTGAAAACGCCTCCTTGCATGTCCTATATATGTTAATATGTACCATATTGCAGTCAAATAAAACTTAAGGCTGAGACCCTAATTACTCAGCCGATTCTATCAAGAAGCATACAATGAAGTCTTGCATATAGCCGCATCACAATCAACAATTCTACATTAAACAATAGCACCAGTTTTAAGATTGGAATTGACATGTTAGAATGAGATGGTGCAAACATCAATAATGGACAACATCCCAAATCTCCTGCATAGACTATTTACTAAAGATAAAAATGCTAGTCTAAAATGATGTGTCATGCTGCCTATCACTAACTGACAAACATAATTGTCATGGCAGAGACAGTAGAGAAGTGCATGATGATTTAAGAACATACCTGGGTTAGTTGCCTACTTTCATGGTTTCCTCGTAAAAGGGTAATATTAGCTGGGTATCTATAAAATTACACAAAAATTAATGGCGCACCAATACAAATTAATTAATAATTAATTAAGTAAATTAAGTACATAAATAACACAGAATAACAATACCTACCGAAAAAAAAGCTGAAATAATAAAGAAATCTAAAGCAACAGCAGACTCAGTCAGTTTGATAGTCAGTGGAAAGGAAATCCATTAGAGTTGCGCAGAAAACAAAAAACCTTCAGTTATGCAATCATCGTTGCCTACTATTATCACTCAACTTTATCTATCTCACATAATAATTTTTTTTAGAAAGGGTGCACAGATCATTTTCCATTCACCTCTTCATTTCTTTTCCATTCACATCATCATTTTCCATTCATCTTAATATTTAATTGTCAAGCAATTTTCAATAATTAAAATCCAATGCATTTTGCAATCCAAACATAATGAAGCATTGAAACATTACAACCAATAGAAAAGCTAAGCAGCCTTAAAATCAAAGATGATTTATGTGATCACTCTTTTAATCAAAATTGTAGCGTATTTATTCAGATTGGATTGCTAAGAATTCTTGCTAAGAAGTTTTTTCCTCCATATCTTCTTTTGGGGGGGGGGATTACTATCACAGTCTCCTCATGGCTTTCAATGAATGGTGTTTTAAGGGGATGTCCCTAGTGGATTTACAGAGATTGGAGAGTTGTTCTGAATTAGAGTTTATAAAGAAATTCCCATCTCACACATCCTGTAAGGTTCATAACATTACAAGAAAGAAAATGGCAGAGTTGTCAGCATGAAACAGAATTTTCACATTCAAATTGTTCAATGGTAAGGATGCTTATAAAATAATATTAAGGATGGATTGAATGATCTATTGACATCATGACAACTGATGAATCAATCATACTCATCCGCCAATGTCAGACTGGCACCCTAAAAAAGTAAACTTCCCTATTGGTTAGACAAAAGCTTAGAGAAAATTAAAATCTTCCACCTCAACCCACAAGTTTACAAGGATAAAAGCTTAAAAATTATGCTATTATGACATATGACGCAAGTAGATTTTGTGTATATATCCCAAGTTCATATGAACACTGAAATAGTAAAGACGGATGCAAACATGCAAGAAATTTACATACCTAGCTTTAAGAAGTAATAGGATGGTGAAAACTTCTAGACTATTGTACCCTCTATCAACAAAGTCTCCCTGCAACACATATAGGGTCAGATAAAGGAAAAACTTACATTCATCAATAAAGTTTCTTGACAGAAGTGTAGCGCCTACCATAAAGATATAATTTGTCTCAGGTACATGACCCCCTGTCTGGAAAAGTTTCATCAGATCATGAAATTGGCCATGAATATCACCACAAACAGTTACCGGGCTATTCACTGGCTGCACATTGGACTCCTCAATGAGGATCTCTTTTACCTGAAATGTCATGAAAGAATAACTGGAGCAGCAGTCGTGGCTCATCGAATATTTAATTATTCGAAAGTTAAAATATAAAAGGAAGTACTTCTCCAGTCTAGACAGAAAAATCTCAAGGCGCACAGACAACAAACCTGACACCAGAACTACAGAAATATTGCAATGATAGTCTTATAGAGAAAACACAAAAAAATGCCCCCGCAAGAGATATCAAGTCAGAAGGGTCACGAGATCGTTATTTTCCTTCTAACCCACGAACGGATTGAATCTTATTCCAAATAGACCCTTGATGCAAGAAAAAGGACTTGTCGCTTACCAAAATAACCAACCTTTTACCCCCACCAAAGTTACTTATGGCTAACTTCACACAACAGAAACCCAAAGAGAGAACAACTACCTCAGTGCTTGAGCTATATAAGGCAATGATGGACCAAATGATTTACAAATCCTTTCAACTCTTCATGAAATACAGACTCAAAGCTAATGATATTAGGAAAGAAAGAATGATAATTCTGAGATAGTAGAAAATAACTGAACTGAGGGCAAACATATTTTGAGGCCCAAAAGTGAACGAGACAACAGTAGACCCTGCTGCCTGTGACACACTATCCCCTTGGAGGAAATCAATTGAATGCATGAGTAAACCGAATAAACCCTATTTAGAGAGAGTGGAAGAGCGAAATGCTTACATATTCGCAAAGAAGCTGAAGCTCGTCTTCCAGAAGATGCTGCCCTTCCTTCACCTTCGCGATCCACTGGTCCAAATCCATCTCTTACCTTTCCTTTAACACTACACCTCTCGCTGCGAGGGAATGGAAATTGGTTTGAGCAACAAAACCAATGGAGAAAGCCGAGAGATCCAAAGAGGCCGAGAAATTTCAATCACAGATCCACGTTGTAGCTTACAGTTTTAGGGATTTTATTTTAATATCTGGAATTTCTTGAATTTGAATGTTTTTTTCTTTTTTTTGTTTGCCAATTCTTAAATGTTGAATTGACTTTTGTCGTTTAAGTTTCCGTGGCTTAATTATTAATCAAATATGGAGAATATTAACTAATTATTAATTATTTATATTTATTTTTCAAATATATAAATTATATTTATTTTATTTTATGAAATGGTTTTAAAAATTAAGATGTAATTCCTTTATTAAAAATGTAAGGTATTTTTTTAAAAGTTAAATGTTAAAAATGTAAAGTATTTTTAATCTTTCGAAGAATAATTATTTCTTTTTCTCCAAAATATTTCTATTAATAATGACTTTATATTTATTGTAGAGTGTTTAATAGGGGTAAATATGAAAAGATAAGATTGGTTTAAAAGTAAGTAACTACTTTATTGGAGGTAAAATTCGGTTAAAAATGCTGTACATTTTTGAACGGAGGAAATAATATTTTGCTAATAATGACAATTCTTAATATATATATATATATAGATATATATTTCACTTTTAATAAAGTAATTATCTACTTTCAAACTAATTCCATTTTTTCATACTTACTCTTATTAAACACCTTATAATAAATATAAAATCATTATTAATAGGATATTTTTGAAAAAAGATAATAATTACACCTCGAAAGACTAAAATGCTTTATTATTTTTAACATCTAACACCTCAAAAAATACATTATATTTTTTAACAGAAAGAGTATATATGTCAATATTAAATATAAATAACAATCAATATTAATAAGGGAAAATTGAAAAAAAAAACTCCAAGAAATAGTTAAATAACAATTGAGTATTGTAAAATATGATAAATTTTTTTAGTCATTTGGACTTGTTTGGCATATTTGATTTTTTATAAAATAACATACTTGTCCCTGTAAAAAAAATTATTTATTATAATAAATTAGTGATTAGTTTGTTTTAGAAAAATGACAACTTTTTAAGAAAATAACTAAAATGATATAATAAATTACAAGTTATTATATGCAAATATTTTTATTAATAAAGTTCAACAAGCTAAAAAAAAAAAAGAAGTGACCATTTTGTTTTAGAAAATGACTTTTTCTTAAAAAATGACATAATTACAAATTACAAGTTGCTCAAAGTAAAATTTTTAATGATTGAAGTCCAATAATTAAAAATCAGTTATTATTTTCTTTGTAAAGTGGCTACTTTTCTTGGGCAAACAACTAGAATGAAATTAATTTTTTTTATTAGTAAAATCCAACAACTAAAAACTCGTATCTACAACTTAGAAGATTTGTCTAATACATAACATTCTATTCTCATGAGATAATTTGGCTTTTTTTTTTATATCTGACTATATGGCTATTCTTTTTCCTCAATCTTTCTCACCCATTTTTGAAAATCTTTACTTTTTCCCTGTGAGAATTCTCTTGTTAGGAAATCTAGCAAAGAATTCTCTTTTCTTTTTATAAATTATATTTTGAAATCAAAATAAGATAAAATAGCTATCTAGTAAATTCTTAACATCTTTTTGTAAAACATCTTTTATTTCTTTACAATTTACTTTAATTAAAAACTTTTAATTTATTAAGTCGTCTTGAAATTTGTAACACAGAAGACAATAGATAATTTTTTTTTATGGTGGAATATTGCTATTGAGCTTTTGACCATACTCTTGAATGTAATCTTATTATTTCTCTTTTTCTTCTTTTAACTGTTTTAGGATAGCTCTATATTCTATTTCTAATGCATCTGTCTCAACTATTTTAAAAGCTGTTGGCTTAGCTATCCCAAAACAAGGTAAGCTTTTGACTTGAGACTTAACTTCTTTTATTATTCTTATCATCTTATCTGATCATTCTAGTTGATTTTTTTGTAGCCTTTTGAAAAGTAAAGCTACCTTTATTCTTAATTTTGGAAGAAAGTTAGCAACATAATTGAAACATCTTAAAAATCTCTGTAGTTGATTTTTATCTTTGATCTTATCAAGAAATTTGTCAGCAAACTTAATTGCTCGACTAGTTGGCTTAATATTTCCTTGATATATTTTCATTCTTAAGAATCTGACTTTAACCTAAAAAAAGTTTCATTTTTCTAGATAAAACTACAAGACCATTGGCTTTAATAATTTATAAAATTGATTTAAATGTTTCAAGTGCTTTTCAATAGAATTGGAAAACACTAAAATATCATCAATATAAACTATAATGAATTTACTATATGGATTGAATATATTATCATTATTTGCTGAAATTCATGGTGAATTCTTAAGTCTAAAAGACATTACATTCCATTCGTAACGTCCAAAAGGGAATATGAATGTTGTCTTATATCTATCTTTTTCTGCAATCTGAATCTAATAGTATCCAAATTTCATGTCAATTTTGAATTCCTATGAATGTTTTTTTTGTTAGGAGTAGGATGTCCAATCCACCTTGAAACTTTATTTAATGGCTTATAATTTATAATTCATTTGGAGCTCCTCTTTTTATTTTTGCAAAATCTGCACATAAAAGCCAAACAACTCCAAGGAGACTCATTGGGTTCAATTAATTTCTTTTCAAGTAATTGTTGAATGTTTGTTTTAAAGTATTCAAGCAATTCTTAATTCATTTGTATAGGTCTTGCTTTACTGGCTATTTGTTTCTCAATAAAATTTTCTTTGTAAGGGAGTTCCATTATATGTTTCTTTCCATTCCAAAAAGCATTGGATGTTTAGAACAAATATCTTTTTCAAATTTTTCTTTTAAAATATTTATTCTTTTTTTAGCCTGAGAATTTTTTACGTTTTTCTATTCTTTTAAATGAATTTCTTTTCTAAGAAAATTTATTTGTTTCCTTTTCTATTTATAGAATTAACTCAAAATAATGAATCTTGTTTTAACATTTTTATTTCTTTATTATATGAGATTTTACCTATTCAAAAATTATTTTCTTTCCAGCTATCTTGGTAATTATACCTTCATAATTGGCTTTAAAAGGTAATATCTGTTCAAAAAAAGGTATGCCTAAAATGGCAAGTTCAGTCAAAGTTTTACTAGCATCAATTTGTTTTTAAAACATATTCCTTGGTTACAAATATGAGCATTTTTCAATTTATATTATATATCTAGTTTTGAATTATTTGATGTTCCTATTTTTTCATGTCTTTTCGTAATACTTAGTTGAAAATAATCCTTCTTGTGCACAATTCATATCTACACTCGAGTCTACTAAAACTACTATAGTTTTAGAAAACTCTTGATTTATAACTAAAATAACTTGATAGTACCATTTTTGTAAGCTAATTGTGAGACAACATTAACATACCCATTTTGATATATTTTGTTGGTATTTCACTAATATGTTGTTGTCCTCTACTTCTTTATCTTTGTTTTTATTTTTTTTCTAATAGGCTCTAATTTGCAATATTTCTATATCTCTATGGGTTTATTATCTTTTAATTCTTTAATTTCTTGTTTTATTGTTTTATTTTTATTGAAGTTCTATTTATTCAGGTTCAAATCTTTTATTATGTCTTTAATACTAATTGGTTTGTTGAAACTTGAAGTTTATCTTTTTATCTAAAATATCTTTAATTTAATAAATAATGTCTTTTAATTTCTTCATCCTCAATCTTATCTATAATTTCTACAATGAATTTTAGATTTTCTCTATCCAAGGTATTTATTCTAGGTTTTTCTGTACAACTACAAATTTCTTTTCCTATACAATCTTCTTCAGAATTATCAGAAGATGATGACTCACTAGTACTTTTTATATCTTTAATATTTAATATTTTCTCTATTTCTTGCTCTTCTTCTTCTGAAGAATATGATTCTTCAGTTTTATAGTTGCTTTCTAATGTTTTTCTGAGCACAATTTTGTTTATTTTCTTTGCTTATTTGTAATTCTCTAATTTTCTTTTCTACCTTATATTTAGAAGCATAATGCCCAAATCTACCACACTTGTAATAAACTATATCTTTTTTATCTTTTTTATCTTTTGAAAAGATTTTTTTTTTTCTTAAAAGATTTTTATACTTAGGACAATATCATTTTTTCTTTTTATCTTTCTTATACAATGCTGGGTTATAACTAATTTTCTTTTTTCTTCTAGAAGGAGCTTGGATTTTCTCAAATCCATTTGCTCACAAAAATTTCTTAATTCTAATCTTCCTTGTTCGTATCTCTATATATTTTCTTCTGCATATATATTTCATTACACAGTTTTAATCCTATAATATTAATTACTTGGACTAATTATCCATAAGTTAAAAGAACTATAATTTATAGTTCCTGTTCTTATCTCTATTTAATTTCTTCCTTAACTCTTTCATTGAAAAATTTGGTAATCCAAATATCAATTTTCTTTCCAAAAATTAGATTAGCATTCTTGTCTTTGAAAAATTTTTGGAATACAATTATCTTATGCCATCTAAAATTTGCAAGTGTAGGACATCGTAGTTTCATTATTTCGTTAAATATCTTCTTGTATTCCTGTAGGTTTTCCTACAAAGTGTTTATTTTTAGCATATAGCAACTGTCCTATATTGTCTAGGTAGCTAGTTTCTATGCCACCTTCTTCTTTCTTTATAGAATGCAAAGTTTTACTTGAAGCTTTTCAGATTCAGTGAGAACATTTTCCCACCAACCTTTAAGGCTTACGGTAAAATCCTTGGTTATCAAATATGCTATTGTCCTATAACCTATTTATTCTGTATGCGGCAACTGCCATAGTCATTTTTGTGTTAGGGTCATTATTTGTATTCACTAAATCCATCTATATTCCACTCATAGATAGAGGTTCCATTATAATGAGAGCTGTAGTGTGTATATCTTTCTTAGAACTGAAGATCCAAGAATGTAGGTCTCATATAATAATTTTTTATTTTCCCTTATTCCAATCTCTAGTTTTATCTTATTAAGGTGTTAACTCTTCTACATTTTTATTTATAACATTAATCTTATCTTTTTTATCCTTTATACTCAATGTTTCTAATTTTTT